CCAGTAAGGAGGAAGGACAAAGATGGCAAGGTAAGAGGCCCTTGGATAAGTAGGGAGAATGTGAATTTAGTCAAAAGGGAAAAAGAAGCATATGTAAGGTTTAGGAACCTAAAATCGGACAAGGCCCACGAGGAATATAAAGAAAGCAGGAAAGAACTCAAGCAGGGAATTAGGAGAGCAAGAAGGGGCCATGAAATGACCTTGGCAAGTAGGATTAAAAATGGCAAGGGCATTCTATACATATATTAAAAATAAGAGGATAACCAGGGAGAAGGTAGGACCACTCAAGGATAAAGGAGGGAACTTGTGCTTGGATGCAGAGGATGTGGGTGAAATCCTGAATGAGTACTTTGCGTCCAATACTGGCATTTCCACATCATCGGATTCACCCAAGAGAAGGATTTGGAGAATAGTGAGATTTGTGTTGAGCAATCTAACGTGCTAGGGCATTTGAGATCAAGAAAGTAGTAGTGCTGGGTCTCCTGAAGAGCATTTAAGATGGATGAGTCCCCAGGGCCCAATGGTATCTACCTAAGGTTATTGAGAGAGGCAAGAGATGAGATTGCTGGGGCCCTTGACAAAGATCTCTGTATCCTCATTAGCCACTGGAGAAGTCCCAGAGGACTAGCAATTGACTAATATTGTTCCTATGTTCAAGAAGGGAAATAGGGATAATCCAAGAAATTATAGAACGTGAGTCTCACATCAGTGGTAGGGAAGCTATTGAAGAGAATTCTTAGGGATAGGATTTACGCGCATTTAGAAAAGCATGGCCTAATTAGGGACAGTAAGCATGGCTTTGTGTGGGGCAAGTCATGTCTTACTAACTTGATTGAATTTTCAAGGAGGTAACTAAGGTGATTGATGAGGGTAGAACAGTGTAAGTTATCTATGTGGATTTTAGTAACGCTTTTGACAAAATCCCTCATGGTAGACTCATCCAGAAGATTAAGATGCATGGGATCCACGGTGGCTTGGCCACTTGGATTCAGAATTAGCTTGCCCATAGAAGTCAGAGGATAGTGGTGGAAGAGTGTTTTTCAGGCTGGAAGTCCATGACTAGTGGTGTTCCGCAAGAATCCATGCTGGGACCTCTGCTGTTTGTGATATATATAAATGACTTGGATGAAAATGTAGATGGGTGGGTTAGTGAGTTTGCAGACAATACAAAGATCGGTGGAGTTGTGGATAGCGTAGAAGGATACAGTGGGATATAGATCTATACTATAGTTGCAGATGTGGGTGGAGAAATGGCAGATGGAGTTTAATCCAGGTAAAGTGTGAGGTGTTGCACTTTGGGAGATCAAATGTTAGGGAAAAGTATACATTTAATGACAGGACCCTGAATAGCATTAATGTATAGAGGAATCTTGGAGTTAAAGTCCACAGCTCTCTGAAACTGTCCACTGAAATAGTTAGGGTGGTAAAGAAAGTATATGGCATTTCTGCCTTTATTGGTCAGGGAATTGAGTACAAGAGTCAGGATGTCATGTTGCAGCTTTATAAGACTTTGGTTAGGTCACACTTAGAGTATTGCATTCAATTCTGGTTGCCACATTACAGGAAGGATGCAAAGGCTTTGGAGAGAGTACAAAATGTTTTGGTGCAAAATTTTTGGTTACTGTTCGTTCGACTGCCCTTGAACATTTAGGTTTTTATGTTGTTGGTTCAGGTTGCCCAAAATGTGAACTGACAATGTCATTGCAAGTGAAATGGGACAACTGGGAACCAAGAGAGCAAGATAACTAACCGTGTATCTCCTTAACCAATCAATTTGACAGATTGTGAAATTAACAAAGAAAGGGCTGTAAATGAGTGAATTCAGTATCAAATGGAATACAAAAGACAAAATAATGAGAGAAAATTAAGGGGAAGATAAATGAGACGGAAAGGAAAATATTTTCTCAATCATTTTTAATTTTGAATTTTTGAATATCTAACAATTAAAATGTGAAAGATTGAGACACCGCTCTTATAATTGTTCACTTTTTGGATCATAGAGGTTTATTAGAAGTAATTTTGGGTCAGGACCCTTCATTTCTGAAGAAGGGTTCCAACCTGAAACGTCAACCTTCGTACTCTTCTGATGCTGCCTGGCCTGCTGTGTTCCTCCAGCTCCACACTGTGTTATCTCGAACTCCAGCATCAGCAGTTCTTACTATCTCTATTAAAAATCATTACTCATTAAAGAGTATTTAGCAGATGATTACTAGACTTAACCTTCTAGGGTGGCTTTAGCGCACTTTTAATGCACAAATGCAGAAGCTCCATGAAACTCATAGGAAGATTAAGTGCAACATACTATTTTCACAAACAAACAGCATAACAGTGAAAATAGCCCAAAAACTTCCTCTATTTCTCAGCACAAATTCATGCCCAATCATTAACTTTCCATGCCAAAAAGAGATTCTTTTGCTGTAATTAACATTTATCATGTCATTAAAAGAGTTCTCAGACAAGAAGTTGCAAGACTGAACTTTTTGTGGCGAGTTTAGTTTGTTTTTACAACTCAAATAGAACAGCTTCAAGTTATTCAATGGTATTTCAATGGTGACACAGACAGCAAGGCATTACTTCCAAAGTGATGCAAACAGCAAAATCTGAATATCTGCATCTAACTATGCATCTGGCCTTGCCTGAAATTGCTGTTGAATTTGTGCATTCATAATGAGGAGTACCACCGAGTGTCTTGTTATTTTGACTGCTAATTCTGATTGGTATTATCCAGAAAATTTGAAATATTTCACATAAATTTTCACAAATTACCCTTAAAAATATGATTCTCATTTTCACATTACACATATGGTCCAGATTTTGCAGTAGCATTGTTGGTGAAACTGTCAGCAATCACTATCATATCTCCACTGAAGCTGACAAATACTTTGACAAATACTACATGTACACTCGATAACACAGGCATCTAGAATTTGCTATCATTGATTCCACTATTCTCCAGAGAGTTGATGTCCATGTAGAATGCAGTCCCTAAGCTATCAATGAATTAATGAGAAATTCCACAATGTTGATTTCCCCTGAACTGTAAAAATTATTGGAAAAAAATCTTATTGATTGCTGTGTAAGTGGAATTCTAATGGTAAACACACTTCATAATTATTGATTGATATTTACTGGCCCTTAAAAGCTAATTTTACATTCGTAAAGGATTGCATTTCTTCAATGTAGAAAAGAACTCCACTTCTTTTAATGTAACCCTACCCTATAAATAAAACTTAATGATCTTTTAGGGCCTGGCCTAGTCCAATCATAGCCATTTATTTTTCTATCTGAAAATCTAAATTAAAAATGAAAGACGATCAGTGCCTTTCACTTCCTACTTTGCCGTCTGTGAGAATACCGCAGTATGATTGGCTGTTTACCCTGCTTGTCCACATCACCATTGCTGAACATCTGTACATTCCGTTGACTGAATGCTAGATTTACGCAGCCACCAAGAATCGGAAATCTGCAAAATACAAGATCGCTACCTTCGACTATTTTTGGACTCTGAGGTGAGAGCCGTTGCTTCATTGCCAACATCTCTGTGAATATCATTTTTGTTTCTCTTTGAAATATAACTGACACTTAATTCTTCCTCTGTGCTACTTATTAATAATTCTTCAAACTGATTGTAAACAATGCAAGGAACCTTATCTCCTTAGCCAAAGGACCCATATCCCCTGCAGAGACCCGTCAGGTTTTCAAATAGTTAGATCAGAGGAACTTGCAGTTCACAGAAAGGTAAGTGCCGGCATAAATCCTGCATTCGCCGCCGACCATAAAATACGACCCTGCACATTCTTTCTGTCGTCTGCAGCCCTTATTCTTATTCCATCATATAGTTTCTGGAGCCTATTGCGCCACCTTCAGGTTTTAAACAAGGGACAATAGCAATAAATCTTAAAGATGTTCTACGCAATTCAAGGGTGCGTATATGTTCTACTGCCACATCATCATTTTGTTCAATAGAGAAAAGCTTTTCGCCAAATAGCATGCCCAAAACAGCTGCATGTTTTTAGTTTTTAGTGCGGGTATACTTTTGCAACTCAGAAAAAACAAACAACCACTCCCCCTCCAAAGCCACATATTTCTTTACTTCAGCATAATTTAGGCGGTAAAAGCTGCTTTAAAATAATGCAAAATGAAGGAATTTCTAAGACAAAGCGTGTGTTTTTTTTTGCTGCTGCGTCCAATCGGCTTAGGCCCAAGTATAAACAACATTAGTTCGATAAGTAAAATTGTGAACTGAGAACTGTCTATATGCTGAGTCAGAGTAACATTTTAACATAAACATTTCATCAGCTCACACACGATTCAATTCCCCCTGAAAACCGAGGCTTCCCCCGCACCTTCAACTTCAACAGATATGTTCCCAGGCTAATTTAAAGAGGAAATAAAAGCCGCTGTGATGTTTTCCCTTGATAGTTCCTTCCAAAGTTGATTATTTCCCAGCAAACTCCTTGAAGAATAGAAGTGGTGCTTGCGGTTGTGTGTGTTTTGTCTGTTGGGGGTGGGGAGCCGTTGAGAAAGGGTCTGGGAGTAATCTGTCATCTCTCAAAAGATCCAGATCTGTAGAGGTCTTACATGAGAAAGAAACAGAAACTAGTCTGAAGGGGCGGTTTATGTATTCATTGGTATGATACCGGAAACTTAACTATCGTTGATCAATGCTCAGATTTGCGCATTCCTCCTCTATATGTCTTGAACCAAAGAACACTCAGGATCGTGAAGCAAGTGCCACCATTCTGGCAATATTCAGTCTCACCAGGAAGTTCCGCGGCGCACACATTGTCCTTCCCACCTCCAACCAACATACCGCGACCCTTCCTCAGTCAATTGGCCCGCTCCACCCGCCTTCCTATCTCCCTGTCTCCCGCCCATGTCAATGGTTGACCCGGGAGAATCCGAACAACGGCGGATTCGCTCTCGAAAGGACAGTATTAGGAATCATGTTGTAAGACAGAGAGAGCGAGCTGGCGTCGTGCAGTTAACCCTTAGCTTACCGGTTCCATAATGAATCCCTGGAGGAGAAGGTTGATATTCTGGAGGTGGAAGACCTCATGGTTTATTTCACACCGAATCCGACCTTAACATGAATGAAAGCAGCAGTGAGTTTGACTGGCCCCTTTGGCGATCGAAATGGAGATCTAAATCGCAGCTTATTTTTGTTACAGCCTGGATTCACACGGGATTTACGAACGACTTCACCACCAATTTGAATGTGGGGAGGGAGGGGGTCTAGAGGGAGGGATAAAGTAGACATGACATAACCCCAGTACAAAACTAGAAAAGGTTTCTCTTTTCATCAAACTCTTTTAGAATTCTAAAAATGATTTTATCTACCCATTTCCAAGATCAAAGAGAATACTGAGTTTTCTTTAAAGCGCCTAAAATGTTAAGTGTATGCGTCAGTATCCTAGTTGACCGATTAATCTTTAGTTGGAACTTTCAGATTTCCGAAATGATATTGTGGTTATTAAAAAAGTTTTCAAATACTACTCGTACAAGAAGTTGATTATCGATGTAATGGGTCCAATATCTAAAGTTCCAAAGGTTCTAGAGATCGGTCAGAGAAAGATACTGCGCGTCATGTTCTGAGGCGACCTTTTTTAAAAAAAAATCTACATTATTAATAATGTTTCTTAATAATGTGCGGAAGTCACTCGGGATATTTGTGCCACGCCAGTAACCCAGCTGAGTGCTGCCGTTTCTTTCACCCCGTCTATGGTGTTCAGCAACTTACCAAAACTGGAATTGATTTTCTTCCTGACCAAAGTTTGTAGGTGAGGTTTGCTGCCATTATATCATTTTCGTCCCCGGACTATACGGCAGCTTTCCCTTTCACAGTCCTGTTTTAGGTGATGATCGACAGTTAAGAAAATCTTGTTGATTCGAAACCAGCAATGGAGAGAAGAGAACTGTGATTCGTGTCCATATCCGTTCCTTGTGCTCTGTGGAAAGCTGGGAATCAGAAACGGAAGGAAAATCCACCATGTGAGCGGCATAAAATACAATGGAGAGAAATCTGGCTGACAGCAGAAACTCCAGGAAATCCAACTAATCCAACGGAAATAAGATATATCTGTAAAAACATGCCCTGGAGCTGCACATCTTCAAATTTTCACATCTAGCCAATGGTCATCGTATGCACCTATTAACAGCATGAAATTGTGTTTATAATAAACACACATTAGTGTCAAGTAAATGTAAACAATAGTTGTATTTTTAACAATATGCTGTTAATGATAAGGAGTGTAAAACCTTACTCAACATTAGGTGGACAAATGTGACCCTGCTAATTTCGCCCAATTTCAAAGTCAAATATCACGATTGTAGATGAAAAGAAGATGTTAGGAAGCTGGGAGTAGATAGGAAATCTTTTAACATTTCCAGCTCGTTCTGTCACTGGAGATCGTGACTAGCCTGTGACTTAACACCTTTTACCTATCTTTGCCCCGTCTTATTTCATGACACTGTTTCCCTCTCCACTGAATGCTGCCAGACCTGGTTTCTCTGGCATTTTCTGTAAATCTGTCAAATTTTCAGAATCTGCAATATTTTTCTAGTTCTTAATAACTTTGCTGAAGGAAACTATCAATCCCAGATTTGGAATTAACAAATAATTACCTTCATTTTACATTTGCAGAAGAGAGTTTCAATCTTCTGCCACCTTTGTGTGTCCAAGAATTCCCCAGTATTACTCCTGAAAGACAGGTTCCAAATTGTAGACAGTATCCCCATTGCTTGACTTCATAACACGTGGAATTAGGTTCTCTCTGTCCACTACACTTGTCCTCCTGAATACATTGCAAACTCCAACTAAATCACCACACAACCTTCTAAATATCAAAGAATACAACCCTGGGTTTCTGTTATCAATCCTTGTAATTTGACATTTGGAGTCTAGGGATTATTCTTAGAGAACAAAAACAAAATATTGCAGAAACTCAATTGGACTCACCACATCAACACAGTAGCTCCAAGAGGAGGTCAGAAGCTAGGAATATGCGCTGAGTAACTCACCTCCTGACTCCTCAAAGCCTGTCCACCATCTACAAGGCACAAGTCAGGAGAGTGATGGAATACTCTGCACTTGCCTGGATGAGTGCAGCCCCAACAACACTCCAGAAGCTTGACACCATCCAGTACAAAGCAGCCCGCTTGATTGGCACTACACCCACAAACATCCACTCCCTCCACCACTGATGCACAGTAGCAGCAGTGTGTACTATCTACAAGATGCACTGCAGAAATTCACCAAAGATCCTCAGACAGCACCTTCCAAACCCACGGCCACTTCCATCTTTGAAGGACAAGGGCAGCAGACGTATGGGAACACCACCACCTCCAAGTTCCCCTCCAAGACACCCATCATCCTGACTTGGAAATATATTGCCGTTCCTTCACTGTTGCTGGGCAAAATCCTGGAATTCCTTCCCTAATGGCATTGTGGGTCAACCTACAGCTGATGGACTGCAGCGGTCCATGAAGATAGCTCACCACCACCTTCTCAAGGGCAACTAAGGAAGGGCAAGAAATGCTGGCCAGCCAGTTACACCCACATCCCACAAATGAATAGAAAAAAAAATCACAGAATTGTTTCAGTGCAGAAGGAGGCCATCTGTCTATCGTGTCTGCACCACCTTTCGAATGAGCATCTCATTCAGTGCCATCCTCCTGCCCACTCCCCACAGACCTGCATAATCTTCTTTCTCAAGTAATCAATATATTCACTTTTGAGTGCCTGAATTGAACCTGCCTCCACCATAATTTCCACCATTGCATTCCAGACAATAACCACTCAGTGCATGAAAATGATTTTCTTTGTAACTTTTACTTCTTTTACTAACTACTTTAAATCTGTATGCCCTCATTCTGGATCCTTTGTTGAGTCGAAATATTTTGTCTTGAATTCTTCTATCTGATAGAAAAATAGTCCCAATCTCTTTAATATAGCTTTATAGATTAAATTCCTCATTCCTGAAACTATTCTCATAAACCCCATGCACTATCCCTAATTTCTTTATATCTTTCCTTAAGGTGTGGTGCCCAAAACTAGATGCAATACTTCATTTGAGGCCAAACCAGTTTTTAAACAAATATTCAATGTGACATCTGTGCTCTTGTACTCAATGCCCCAACTAATAAAGCCTCAAATATTGTATTTAAAAAAAAAACTGCAGATGCTGGAAATCTGGAACAAAATTAGAAATTGTTGAAGAAACTCAGCAGGTCTGACAGCATCTGTGCAGAGAAAGCAGAGTTAATGATTTGGCTCCAGTAACCTTTCTTCAGAACTGGAATATTGTATTGGAATATTGGAATTCTAGCATACTGAATTCACGATTAACTATTCTTTTCTTCTGTCCAGCCACCTTGAATGGCTTATGCACATAGACACCTTGGAAAGGGTGCAATACACCCCAGAGACTGGAGAAGTGAAAAAGACACAGAAAATACTGAAAATACTCAACAGGCAAGGTAACGTCTGTGGAGATAAACAGAGTTAATGTTAAATTCTTGTAAAACATTGCTGCACTACTTTCAAGGCCATTTTACACTTGAAAAGGTGCAGTACTCAGAACTGTTCACATTACTCCAGGTGTGGACTAAACCAGAGTTTTGTAGCTGAAGGATAACTTTAACATTGTTTTATTCTAAATTTCAGGATGTAAAACACATTTTGTTAGCAATTTTGATTAATTTTGAAACCTGTTTCTGACATTTTAATGATCTATATATCTCAATCCCAACTCTGTTTGAATATGTACTTTCTAACTATTTATCATTTAGTTTCATTTTAGCCAGATTCAGATGATCTACTCTTTACAAACACTTTCAGATTATCTCGGACAGCTGAGAAGTTTCATATACCCTATCCTGAATGATTCAAGCAGTTTGCCAGCAACAGATCTGAGACTATTTGGTCTAAAATTGGTTTATCTTTTTCACATTTTTGATTGATGTACTTAATTTCATGCATCTGCACAGGATGCATCTCGGGGTTCTTTAGCTTACTTTCTTAGCAATCACTTAATTTTCAGTTCCTTAGTTTTGTGTATGATGTCCACTAGCATATATTTGCATATGATTTATCTATTTAATTCATTGTGCTTTCTCAAAGCAAATTAGTTTACAAAGTTTCAATGAAACATTTTTTAAAAATCTGATCATCTTCCTCAAACATTAGTGCCTTTTTTTCCAAAAATGGTAAAATTTTTCTAGGTGCAACAAGATCCCTTTAATCCTAAAGCCAACCTTCCATTTGCGTTGATGAGAATGACAAACTAACCTCAACATAGTACAACTTTTCTATTCTTAACCATAGCCAACCTTACGAGCCCACATCTCGGTTGAATCTGATCCTAACACAATTGTTACAGATAATGGTAAGTGGCAAATTGATCTCTTGTATTTTCCTCACGTTCTGTGTGTAAGCAGGTTGGTTTAATTTAGAATAGGCTATAATTTGTTTCCGAAACCCCGATTTGTGAGGATTTTTTGAAAACGACTCGCACAGCAACTCTGTTTAGGTTTAAATCAAGAGTGTTGTTCTATCAATTTCAAACCTAGGGCAACCTTTTCAACTTCAGGCACACAAAGCATCCAAGAAAGAAATAAGAAAGAAAGAGTTTTACAACTAAGAATAAATTTATACTAAAATGTTTAGTATTTAATAAAAGTCATGCAAATCAGAGTTCAGTGACAATGTCTTGACTTGTGAGTTAAAAGTTTATGTTAGTCTACATGGCTGATGACAGGAGTTGCAGGATTCCGATAAAGTTGCTGATGAAGCAGCAAGATGGTGTTGGTGTAATGGGAGTTCTGGAGAAGGGTCACTGAATTCAAAACATTAACTCTCCTTTCTCTCCATAGATGCTGCCAGACCTGCTGAGTTTCTCAAATAGTTTCTGTTTTTGTTGGAAAACTGAAATTGGTCAACTTTGCAGGAAAATATAGGGGTCTTTTGGAACTAGATTTTTGAGGATATTTGATCACGAGGCAGGCTTCGCTATCAGCCTGGAGCCTCTCTCAGCTTACTATCAACAATCTGTTTGTCAATCCCTTTTATTTTTGCTCTCTCTCTCACTCACTCTCTGTGTCTCACTCTGTCTCTCTCTGGGCACTGTCTCTATGCACTTTATTCACTTCTCCCACCCTGTCATCAACATAATTACCACCCTTTCCCAGGTATTTTTAGGTCTGACAAAGGTTCATTGGGCTCAAAACATTAACACTGTTTTTCTCTCCACAGATGCTGCCAGACCTGTTCAGTTTCTCCAGTACTTTGTACCCTTGTTTCAATGACTCTCCCTTTGTTACCAATCCCTGCTAGGGAGATATACCATCTGCAATTCATTTGTTTGTTGACTGCAATACCCACACGATGAAACATGTGAGATTCTGGAAAGACAGTATCTAAGCTCTGCCTTTGTAATTACTGTTTGAACTTTCCAGAATTGCAGTCAACTTGTATGCTGTGATCAGTGGCAGTCATGTTTCATGGCCAGAGAGGTACGTTTTTAGATAGACAAGACAGGAAAGTTTGATCTTTTTATCAAACTGACACAAGATTATAATTTCCATTGATTGTAGTTCAAGAGAATTTTTCTACAGCACAATTTAAAAAAAATTATTACCAGGCTGAGGACTGGCATTGTTAACTCTTAGTCAAATGGTTGTGGTTACAAACTTCAGTCCAAAGTGTTGAATATCTATTTTTAATATCAGCACATTGGTACATTATAGAAGGTCTACATTATTTTTGGAGGTTTTATGATGATGTGTTAATAAACACTGAATTCTGTGACCTGTTTGAAGAAGAATATGTGTTATATTGTGTCCAGAAACTAAAATCAAGCTATTCCACAACAAACCACATCCACTGAAGATTCTGAATCCTTAGTAGCATGCCTGGCCATTTTTGTGCATGTATTTGCATGATTCCGAATAATTTGTCCGATTTGCAGATGCGATGTGAATGTCCGACAGCATTGCGAGGCCTCAAGGTCAATCCAGATATGTAGATCAGTAAATCCAACAAAGA